ACCTCAGGGGTAAAAATTATGACTAAGTGGTAATATCTATCATATACTAAATATAGGCAGTTTTTGCTAGAGAAGTGAATAGTGCCCAGAGAAACATGGAGTTTAAAAAGCATCTAAAGGCCTGATACATAACTCTGTTCATTTATTGGCTTTAGGGTAAGCACATATAATGCTTGACTGTAAAGTAATGGAATTAATATTCTTGTGTACATTTTAAAAATATAGGATTAGTGATCATAATAGGTACATGTTAATGTTTCTCTTTGGAACAACTTGCTTATATCTAAAAGTTACTTAGGTGTTAGCAGCATTTTGATGAATACTTAATACTATATTGCATTCATGTAGAGTCATAATACACATTAATTTATTAAATACCCTGAGATATCTTGTAGGTAAAAATCATTAACTCTGTTTCAATGTGAAATTCACAATTTCTTTAGAACAGGAACCTGACATTCTGTGTTTGGAAAACAGTGTAATAATTTAGTTCCATATTTTCCACAAATTATCTACAAATTCTAAGCTTTTTAAAAATGACTGGCTTCTAAGATTTTTGAGGGGCTTGGTTGTATGAAAGGGTGGCAGGATAGTATGTGTAGTTAAAGCAAATTTATTTAGAGTCAGACTGCTTAAGTGCATAACCAGATTCTGTCTGACCTTAGGAGAGTTAGTTTCTCTTTGCCTCAATTTTCTCAAATTTTCTCATTTGTAAAATAGAGCTAATAAAAATGGTGTATAAACACTATTAGAATAAGCATAAAGCGTATTACTAGAGAATCAAATTTTACTTAAAGATTTTCCCCAAAACATTAATTTTAACATTATTTTATGTTAAAATAAATATACATTAATAGTTAACAGAAGGCAAAATAAAGCATTTAATGGTAAAACATGAGACTTCAAGGAAATTCTGAACCTGACAGTGCATTTCTAGACTTCCTTTAACAAAACTACTCCCCTATGCTGGTAAGTTGGATGGAAAAATTTAAGAACCACTAAGCTACTAATAAGTGGAACTATATGAAAAACTCATGAACAGTTTTGCTGATTTTTTTAAGAAAATAAATGTAAAGCACTAGTAAATGTAAAGTATTGCCTATACTATAAATAGTTAGTAAATGTTAGCTACTGTTAAAGATGACTGGCATTACATTTGGAGCAGCAGTTTATGAAATTCATTTTTCAAGTAACTACTAACTATACTCTAAATGATATATTTAAATTTGTTGATGTTTGTGTTCACTTGTCACAAACAAATCACTTTATAATCTCAATAGAAACAAAAAGGAAAAATAAGAAAAAATAGAAAAGTAAACATTTCTCAGATATATGTAGGGTTGTGGTTATATTAAAACATACAGCAGATAATATTGACTGAATTTCTGTTCATCTCTCTGAATTGAGACTTTGGATAAGAGCAGGAACATCTGATATTTACAAAATGTGTTTACCTATCACATTGATAGTACATATGTGGAGTTCTCAGGTGCCTTTTAGACTGGGGAGTTTAGATGTGAGATTACCAATGTGAATTGTCTACTTTCTTTAGGAGTCATTTATGTGAGGACTATATCGAGGGCATTGGAGATAACTTTATGCCCTGCTTATGATCTCAAGCCTTTTACTGAATTATTTATTATGACATTGTGTTAGCTATTTTGCTTCTTGATAGATCATTTTACACTACAATATTGCTGCTGCCTAAGGGAAAAAAAATGTCTCTTCAGCAGTCCTAATGAGCTCTAGAAAGGGTAATTTGATTCTTAAGGTAGGATTTTGACTTGTCCTAGTAGTGATAAGAAATTTTCTCTGGTATCAAGGTATATTTTTTGCCCCAAACAATCATAAATATTGAGTGCACATTTGTTTTTCACCTACTGTATACTTAGTAGGTTTCTTCCATAAATTATTTCTCTGGCATTTATTAACTTTAACTTTAATAGTAAGTATTTTGGCTAGTTCACTTTGATAATTTAAGAAAGAAAAGGAATGTTTTTTAAAATAAGCTACAATTTATGTTGTCTCTGTAAAAAATGAATTTCTTAGCAGTATTGTTTATATTGTTCTTTGTTCCTTTTTTAAAAGTGACATTTCTGAAAATAACTTATGAAAATTTTTTTTTTTTTTGAGTTGGAGTCTCACTCTGTCGCCCAGACTGGAGTGCAGTGGCCACTCCCGGCCACCGCAGCCTCGACCTGCTGGGCTCCGGCGATCCTTCTGCCTCAGCCTTCCAAGTAGCTGGAACTACAGGCGTGCACTACCACACTCAGCTAATTTTTTTTATTTTTATTGTAGAGATGAGGTCTCGCCAAGTTGCCCAGGCGGGTCTCGAACCCACAGGCTCAGGCAATCCACTCACCTCGGCCTCCCAAAGTGCTGGGATTACAGGCTGAGCCACTGAACCTGGCCGAAATTTGTTTTTCAAATAATGGTATTGAGCAGGTGACCAGGACTAATTGGTAAGTGACAACCCAGATAGCCAAAGCAGCACAGACTTGAGAAGACTGTTAGCTGGGTGAAAGCTGTCCTTTGTCCTCTGGGGTAGTAGCCAATATTGAATCTAGAATATTGGCCTAAGCCAGAGGACACAAAATAAAAAGGAGTTGAAAACTAAATAGAAAATCCATAGAAGTTAAATAAAGCTTAAATAGAAACTCCTAGAAGTTGGCAAGTAATGTTATTAAGACAGGCTAGGTGGCAACTGTGGCCTATTGGAGAGTCCCTGCTTCAGTTAGTTACAGCCATTTGTTGCTATATGGGAATATGTACCTAGATTTTTATGTGCTATCTTCTCATGCTAACACCCAATTTTTCCCCCCATTGCATTGCAGGTCAGATTTGACCAAGAGGGAACCAGTTTGTGACTACGGTCATTTAAAAAGGCTCTTTTCAATTACATAATAATTATGTTGATCTGATACTCTATAAGTAATTTTATACTGGTAAACTCAGAGAAAAACATGAAAGAAAGAAAAGTCTTCATGTCTGTCATTTAATTTTGTAATACTTCTTTACTTGCTTCTTTGTAAAAGATTAAGATTTGTTCAGGGGAATGTGAGGTTGGTATTGTAAATATTTTAGTTATTTTGTTCATAGTATTCTGTCTGTATTTCTGTGAAATTTCAATTACTTGTTTCTATTTAGCCTAGAGTTTTTTGTTTGTTTGTTTGTTTTGAGTTGGAGTCTCACTCTGTCGCCTAGACTGGAGTACAGTAGCCGCTTCCGACCACCGCAGCCTCGACCTGCTGGGCTCCGGCAATCCTTCCACCTCAGCCTTCCAAGTAGCCGAAATTACAGGCATGCGCTACCACGCCCGGCTGATTTTTTGATTTATTGTAGAGATGAGGTCTCGCTGCCCAGGCGGGTCTCGAACCCGTGGGCTCAGGCAGTCCACTCACCTCAGCCTCCCAAAGGCGTGGGATTACAGGCTGAGCCACTGAGCCCGGCTTAGCCTAGAGTTTTACTCAAATTTATTTTAGTAAATAGTAATTTTATTTTATTTTTTTGCAAGATATGTATTTATAGTGTACAACTTGATGTTTTGACATGCATACATTATAGAAACATCAAGATAATGAACATATCTATTCATATACTTATCATTTTGTGGTAAGAACATTTGAAATCTATTCTTTTAGCAATTTTCAAGTATATAGTACATTATTATTAACTATAGTCACCATGCCATACAGTAGATCTAAACTAATTGCTCCTATCTAACTGAAATTTTGTATCCTTTGACTAACATTTCTCCAATCCCACTCTCCAGCCCCTGGTACCACCCTTGTTCCTAATGATAGCTGCTACTCCTGTAAGTAGTGGTAATTTTTTTTTAAGCTAGCTTGTGTTTCCTTTTCTAATTTAAATAATTTTTTCTACTTTTTATTGTGGTATTTTTTTAAAAGGCAGAAAAATGAAGACTAGTAAAATGATCACTCACATGCCTGCTACTTATATTCAACTGGGGTAACATTTTGCCATATTTTATGGTTGAATTTACTTAACCATTTGAAAGTGAGTTGTTGTAAAGTATGCACTTCCTAAAAATAAAATATTCTGTCTCATAATCACAGTGTCATCTTACAAATGTGTTTGTGAATGTATGTGTGTGTGTACATAAATACATACACACACACACACACACACACACACACACACGTTTATATATTATGTATGCTCTTATAATGGCACTAGAGTATACCCAGGAGATGCTGATGAATAAAGCAACAACAAAAACCCCTCCTGTGTCTTTGGTTGATTGTTTACAACAAAACTAAGGCTATGTTGGATCTGGGTCAGAGCAGATATCCCTATTGCTACGATTTCTGGACAACATCCATTCAAATGCCTTTAAAAAAAAAAAGAAAAGAAAAGTTTGCCTTTACAAGACTCTCAGAGACAAGACTGTCCACTAGTGGTTGGGGGCTCTTTCCTAAACTCCTAGCCTAAAATTACAAGCAGTGCTTTGATTAGGCTGGGGCAACAAATGTTAATGGACTTAAGTTCCTCTTGGTCTCCAGGTGAATGATAGGGCATCTATCTAGGCAAATGAAGACCCAGGGAGATGGCAAGCTTTACTATAGAATGTTAGTAGGAGGTCTGGCTATTTGGTCATTTGTTGATAAGTACCTATGCCTGATTTTAGTGAAAGTTGTTTAAACTGCAAAGAAAACTTAAACCTTGTAGTCTAATCTTAAAATTTCCAAAATTTTAGTGGAATGTCTCTTTTATTTAGCAAGTTTTTATATATGAATGCCAATAGTTCTTCTATGTTTTACCTGACTGCTCTCCTGAAGGAGTACAGCATGCAAAGATGGATTTTGTGTCAGTGTTAACTAGAATTTAGGAATTTTCCCAGATTCACCCCAGAGCAGTTATTAAAAAAAAAGTATACATTTAATTATGTTTTCAATTTTCTGTGGAATATTTCCAGTGTTATGATTTCCTTCTTTTTTTTCTATTCTCCTTTTAAAATACATGATTTTTCTGTATTGCAGATTTTTGTTCTTAGGTATATTGACTGAAGTTTAATGAAAAGCATTGTGACCAGCTAGGAGAATTTGCTGCAAGGAATGGAATTAGCTCACAGCTTATTGCTGAATGAAGAAACATGCAGCCAACTAGGTGAAGTTCAGAAGGCAGAATTTATTTTTGAGTGGTTGAGATATTTGGAGAAGCTCTTGCTAGCAACCAGCAGGGTAGGTAAAATTATAAAAGCTCTTTTTTTGTTTAAGTATCAGCAAATGTGTACTTCCTTTGGTTTGCTTTTCTAGTTTTTCCCTAAATTAGCTTTAAAATGTTAGACTTTGTTGAGACTTAATGAAATAATAGTATATTTTTGCTCCACACCCTCAGCATTTTTACTATTATGGGAAGTTTATTCTAAAAAGCAGAAATAAATTAGCTAGTATTTTTGGTAAGACTTTAAAAATATATGAAACGCTAAGTATAGCCACATTGTATTATACTTCACTCTCATTATCTTCTATATCTATATTCTTTCATGTATATAAAACCTTGGTGCAGTGTAATACTAAATAATCTATGAGAGTTTTACTCTAAAAAAGATATGACGAGCCAGGTGTGACTCACTCCTATAATCCCAGCACTTTGGGAGGCCAAGATTGCTTGAGTTCAGTAATTTGAGACCAGCCTGAACACCATAGCGAGACCTCATCTCTACAAAAAAATCAGAAATTTAGCCAGGCATGGTGGCACACACCTGTAGTCCCAGCTACTTGAGAGACTGAGGCAAAAAGTCAAGGCTGCAGTGAGCCGTGATTGTGCCATTGCACTCCAACCTGAGCTATAGAGGGACCCTGACTCCAAATGAAAAGGTGTGAAGACTTTTAGGGGAATATGAATTCAGGAGCCTTCAGGTAAACATATTCCCTCTTTTTTTTTTTTTTTGAGTTGGAGTCTCACTCTGTCACCCAGACTGGAGTGCAGTGGCCGCTCCCAGCCACCAGAGCCTCGACCTGCTGGACTCCGGCGATCCTTCCACCTCAAGTAGCTGGAATTACAGGCATGCGCTACCACGCCCGGCTGATTTTTTGATTTATTGT